TGACCCTTTTAGACAGGATGCGCGTTGAACGACCGATGTACCTGGCTCCACAGCAACAGGTGAACTGATATATACACATAGAAGTGGTCATGTGCGGAATCTTGTCCTTTGGGTTTCTGCAGATCAGCGGGCGACTGGAGAACACTATTCTTAGTGTTGCCGCAGGGAAAGTTCTTCCTAAAGAGGTGGAAATTCTCCTTCTGAGGACGTCACTAAATAGGTCTCCTTTGAAGTCTAGGTTCATATAAAGTATCTTTTTTGGCACGGATGGTGTCTCTTGCTTTTGGTTTTTCTGTTTTTCTCTACGAATCTTGGTGGGTAGCCATTTTGTATGAAGATTTCCCTCAGGAAGTTTAGTTCTTCTTCCATGGTGTCGGAGCTGCAGATGCGTCTGACGCGAGTGGCAAGGGATTTAATTAGGTTTCTTTTCCGACTGATTGGTACCCAGCTGTAGAAACTTGTTAATTGTCCGTTCCAAGTCGGTTTCCTATGGATTGACCTTCTTAAAGTTCCGTCATCTCTCCTTGTAAGCTCGACATCAAGAAAAGGGATTTTAGATTCATTTTCAGTTTCCAAAGTGAACTTTGTGGCTGGATGGCATTTGTTGAATATTTGCAGTAGTTGATTGAGATCGTGACCGTCATCACAGATGATAAAGATGTCGTCAACATATCTAACGTACAACTGGAAATTGTCGATGGTTGATTTGAGTGGGCCGTTCTCGAGGCTTGCCATGAAGCAGTCTGCTAGTAATGGGCCCAGTGGAGATCCCATTGCGATCCCATCTTGTTGTCTGTAAATAATGTCGTTGAATGTGAATTGCACATTTAGTGTACATCTCAGTAGTAGTTCTTTTAAACAGGTCGTCGGTAATCCGATGTTCAGCTGATTTTCGTCGATATAGTGACAAATATAAGAGACAGTTTCTGTGAGTGGAACGTTGGTAAATAGTGATTCAATGTCGAGGGAGAGCATAGTTTTGTTCTTTGTATTGATATCTTTAATGTAATCGACGAATTGGAAAGTGTCACGAAGTGAATGGTGGCACATTCGTTTTCGTACAGGTTCTAAAATGTCAGTGAGCCATTTCGCTATTGAATGGTACGGGGAACCTGACATATCCAGAATTGGACGAAGTGGGAGGTTGGCTTTATGTGTCTTTGGTAAGCCATATAGTCTTGGTATTGTTGACCCTGTCGGTCGGATCTGATCATAGACTTCATGAGTGATTAACTTTTGGGTTTGCATTCTTTTCAGGACATCGGTGAGTTGCTTTTCAATCTGTTCTGTTTGTTTCTTTCGTTGGGTGTTTGCGAAAATTTTGTTTTATCTGACAAGATGTTGTTCATTTTCTCAATGTAGTCTTTCTTGTCCATAAGGACTATACCGGCTCCTTTGTCTGGACGAGTTATAAGGAGTTCTTCATTTTGTTTTAGTTGATTTAATTCTTCTCTATGTTGCCTTGTCAGGTGGTTGTATACTTTTGGTTTTGTATTAAGATACTGATAACAGCTATCGATTATTGTTGATTTGAAACGCTGCAATTCTTGTTCGGAGGTTGGGGTTAAATCATTTGTTTGGGTCATTAGGTTTTCGAATTGTACTTGCGTATGGAGTCTGTTGGCGTTTAAGTTGACGTCGCAGAATTTTGGGCCCATGGATAGGGCTTCTAACTGTAGGTTGGATAAAGCTACTGAAGAGTAGTTGAATACGAATTTCGAAGGGTCTTCAGGAAATTGTTTGTGTGCTTTGATGGATTTGAGGCTTTTGGTGAGTCGGGAAATAGTAGATTGTGCTCGTTTTTCAGTGACTGTATTGACATATTCCGTAAACCTCTGGGTTTCACTAGGTAGCAGATCGTGGAGGGCTGGAGACCTTTGTGAAATGTTGCGTTGGAGTTCTGGAATACGGGCTTTAATAGAGTCAATAAGATTCAATGCATGTCGTCGGAGGGATTTTGTGTTGGGATATATGTGGCTTCTTCTCAATGCTTTCCAAAACCACTTTGGATATTCGCGATTGGTGATACAATCATTGAAAAAAGTAATTTTCGCTTTCACTATCGCAGCAAGGATCCCTCGACAGTCAAGGAACTCAATGGGTTTCTACGGTACTCTGTCAAACTTGCGATGTTGTTTAAGTTGAAACCAATGTTCATTGTTGAAATGACTTAAATCTACCTAACAAGTTCTGCTGTTGGTATGGGTGCCTTTCAACTACGGGAGTCAAGCATTAGTTTGCATTAAATAATATATTTGTGTTCATGAGTCTGTCTGTTTTCGACACAGAACTTTACACATATGTGCAGCAGTTCAAGTCTCCACCGGTGGCACAGTGGTTAGGACTTTCGCCGACCATGCACATGGTCCGAGGTTCGAACCCCCGCCGACGCACACCTGATATCTATGGTCGGCCTGCAAAATTTGGGCTACCGATATCCATGCTGAAAATTCCATACTTGTACCAAAAATACAGTGTGGAATCAAGCTGTAAATCAAAAAAAATATATATATAAAATATAAAAAATTTCCATGTAGCACACAAAGCAACAGAAGAAAGTAGAAGAAATGCATAATAGAGACAGTAAACAGAGGTGTGAGACAAAGGAAATAGTAGTAACGAAGAACAAAATAGTTTCATTGGAAATTATAAGTCACAAGGAGTGGATGCATCTGCGCCATTGAGAACGATTTTGAGCCATGTCATCAATTGTTTCCAACCATTGGTTTTTACCGTCCCGAGGACCCCAACCAGTCAGGAAGTCTACACCTTCTTACGTGGCTGAGACTAGGTGTTGTAGATTTCATTGACTGGTGCCATGTTTTGGTTTAACCGCCGCTAGCTCTTTTCCAGCCTGACCCTATATCAGCTAACATTACTCGTCGAGGAAGGCGATGACTAGGCATACGTAACACATGTCCTAACCTTCTCAGTCGATGTAATTTCACAACCTTGTCGATTGTGTTCATTAGTATAAAACATGGACACTGTAACAGAGTATAATTCTATTATAGATAAAATTTATTTTGATTAAGTTACACAGTGTTGTATAGTAATATTTACTGACGACGTTTCGAGCCCAATTTATTGCTCATAATCATTTTTTCATCATTCTCTAGTTGAATGTCGTTTAGTTTATTTTTCATCTCATATGAATTAGTTAGTCTCTTTGTCGACAAATAGACTGTGTAGCTATGGGCTGTCCACTTAGCCCTGTTTTAGTAGATATTCTCATTTCAAACCTTGAGAAAACAAAGTTGAAGCATGCAACAGATCAAACAACTTCCTATTGTCGATGACACAATTGTAGTATGCAACAACGAAATTCATGCCCCCTACCTACTGAGACTGTTCAACAACGCACATACAAATATTGTATATACTATGCAACATTAAAATGATGGAAAGTTCCATTTCCTTCACGTCACCATATAACGCCTAGAAGATGGTAGTCTCCAGAGGTCAACTTACCGAAAGCCCACAATACTTAGATTTTAGTAGTTTTTGTCCAAATAGCTATAAACGAGCACTAGTCAAGACTCTGTACTATAGAGCGAGGACAACATGCTCTGCAGAGAAACTAGAGGAAGAATTTACGAATCTCGAAAAACAGCGGTTATCCTCAAAGATTCATTAACAAATATGGAAGGCTCAAATACCAAACAAATCACAGTTGAAAAAAGCCTATCTTCATTAAACTAGATTTTAAAGGTGAAAACATTGCAGAAATGGTCAACAGAAGACTGAGAACGTCACTAGCCAGAGCCTATCCTGCAGCCAAGTTTGTTCCCGTCCATCAAACAACATGCGCTTTGGTACAGTCAAAAGTCGATAGATACCCTTTATAATGTTAACCCAACTGTGTATACAAATTTACGTGTATCAGCGGGAGCAGTTACATTGGGAGAACAGAAAGAAGGGCACACCTCCGATTTTCTAAACATGTGCCGAAAAGCCTACGTCACAAGGGAACAAACTTTTAGTAGCGCTATTACCAGACATCTCCTCGACATGGGTCATAAAGTGGAAATCGAGAAATCCTTTAAAATTGTCAATAGACAAAGGAGCTCCATTCTCCTCAAGTTTGCCGAAGCAATTTCTATTAAACGCTTGAAACCAGACTTATGTGTTCAGAAAGAAGCAGTTGTTATTCTTTCCTTGCCCTTGTAACTGGATGTCTTTATTCTCTCATCTGATTACGTAATCTTTGTCTTTAACCTCACCTCCTTTTATAATCTGTAGTTTTGCTTGTCTCTTGTTTCTATGATTTGAGTTGAACTCAGTACATTGTTACCTGATTTATTAGTCACTCTGCATCTAACGCATATCTTGTCTCTGTTACGTAACTCCTTTACCATTGTATACATACATTTATTCTGTTTAAACTTGAACTGCCTGTGTAAAAACTATATAAGCGCAATTTTCTGAGCACTGTTTACTAATTGTGGAACTTTCTGTCAACTGACATGTAAAATTTAGAAGTTAAAACTTCTGTACATAAACCGCATAATTTATTTGGGGGTGTAAGCAGCTGATGAGAAGCCAACGAAATAATAAGTAAAGCTTTTTGTCATACAGTTCCACGCTTATCTCCACTGCAGAGATTACAAAAGCGCGTATCGGACGGTCAGGGAATTGTATGAAACGAAGAGTATTTGGTTCTGTTACGCGAAAATGACGATCGTTTAGAGAACTAAGCAAAGATGGCTAAGGCGATTACAACAGAATACTAAAGCACTTTTCGAATCGTCCGAAAATGTGGGTAAAAATGGAACTTGTTCCACGCTAGGAGCATAAGACCGTGTATATTCAATTCTGCAATCTAAACTTGCACTGACGAACAAGTTCCTGAATCGGGTTGGAATCACAAAATTTCTATAACTCGTAGCTTGGAAATGTGAATACGGTTGTAAATGCTAAATTTCTAAAAGAAGTTTAGCCTCCAAAATTACCATGTCGAAGTATCCGAGAAACATAACAAATGAATGAGAATGAACATAGAGCTAAACAATCATTATAATAACAATTTCACATACACAATATACATATACAAAAGATAAATAAGTAGTTATATTATACAACTGGTGTCTGATTTTTTGTGTGGGATGTTCAGGAATCGTAAAAAAAATTAAGCACACGAAGGAAATTATCTTACACTCTAAGGTGATAGGCATTCTTAGTTACATAATGAGAAAAGTTATGTATGTATAATGATAATAATCTTGCTGAGCATTTTGGAATAAAAGGAGAAACCAATTACAGTGCTACTTGCTGTTGCATAATGATATTAAGTTAAATAGTCTTCACAGCATTACTTGTCTTTACAGGTTTTTTCTTCTGCTGACGGTAATAACAATAAACTACTTTGCACACTGTAGTTATCAAAAGAGCTGCAGCGACTACTTCCACCACCATCAGTACTTTTTGCACTATTCAGCTGACTACTAGTACTACTAGTTGATGCGCAAGATCCAACCGAACAAGTATCTGAAACGGCAGAACTATGAACACTACTATTGATTGTTGCCCCCGCCGTACTCCCAGTAGTACTGTCACAACTGAATCCAACGGGAGTAAGTAATGTAGTTCCTGTACTACCAGCAACTGATGAACGACTTGAACGACGGTTACGTTTACTTTGTGGAGCACCTGGTCCCATAGGCGCAATCAAAATGGGTTCCATTGACGTGTCAGCCGTTGTATCTGATATTTTGGTTGGTTCAGATGATAATGTGTTATCAATTTGTTTTTCAACAGTATTATTTGAACATACGTTGGAATCCGAAGTCAATGTAGTGTTAGCATCAATAACTACAGAGGATTCAGGGGTACCGTTTGACACTTCATTAACGTTGCGCATTACTACATCTGTATCTGCATTGACTTCATTTGACTGGACGGTAGAACAGGCCAGCATGACGGTGTGTTGACCACCAGCGTCAATCATCAAGATACGACTGTAAAAAAAACCAACTCTAAACTTCAGATTCTTATTGACAGTTTAGTTATACAAATGGAAATATGATGGCAGTGTTGAAATAATAAATGCACAATTCAGTAAAAGAATAATGATCCACATATGTTCCACAGAAAAGTTATATACCAGATTTAAAATAAAATTCTAGATCTAATCTGAGACATCTAGTCCTAAGATTTCATTAATTCAAGACTTCGTGCATTGTTATTGTATATTAATGCAATCCCAATAGTTTAATGCACTGATGGATTGCAGCCCAGACGCAATAATGACCTAAACTGAAGAAGTTTAGGAATGCTTGCCTAACACATATTAGTGCTAACTAAGAACTTCTATGTACAGATGGGGTATTTAAGTTTAGGGAAGGATCGTCGACCTGCTGATTCGGGACTACATTATCGAAGGTCTTCTGCAGTTTCGCATAGATCACAACCTACTCTACCACAGTGTACAAGTTTTATTCTTATATCAATAGATCACAACCTATTTTTAGCCCGCACTAATTTCCGATATAGTAATTACCGCCACTCAATCCTGAATTCTAACAAATAATGTTGCTACCAGCAGAAACCGATGGTGTAAGTGAGTACAGGGTTACTGATCATTATTTGGCGCTCGCCTGGATCCTGATCATGCCTTAGTGTGTGCCAAGTTTATCTTGCCATTCGTAAGGGATTGAAAACGTTCTCCTTAGCAGGTTGACATCAGAACTGGTGGCAGCTTTCAACACTGCCAAGTATCTCACTAAGGTGCACTCGAGACTTCCAACTGAACCCCCGACGTAGTTTGGACAAAATTTGTTTGTCACAAAATCCTTGGAAATGGAGAGCAAGGTCCATGTGGTTTAGGTATACATCCCGTTGAAAATCACTGGGTTCCCCCAGAGTTCCCTCCAGCTTGTGTTTACGCTCGTTGGTCTATTGAGCCAGATAGGGAATATTATAACACGTAAAACTCTTACTCATTAGATCGAACTGTGCTTACGTAACTACTGAAAAGCTTGATGGTCAGAATTAACGGCTACATCTAATATTAGTCGAGAGCCGTCCCAGCCTATCCGAGCCACCAGCGGCAAGGAACATGGTGTCAGCGAGACATAATGTGCTTCGACAAACAACCTAAGACTGTTGGAATGCTTGGCTGGGTAATTTCAGATATTTTGGTTGGTTCATGGCTGGTTGCGTGACCGCAGAGCCCAGGGGACAACTGCTTGAGGCCGGTCACACGCGGCCTGTTTTTGTTTGTTGTCTTTTGTTTGGTGTGCCTCAGTAGCATACTTATCACTCCTGCCCTGTGACACGGCAGCAGGAAGCGCGGTCGTTGTTGGTTGGTTCATAGTGCTCTATCAGATATTATTCGACATAACACTCCACAGTCCGTTGATACCGACCAATCAAGAGAAGAGAAGATCCGAAAGGAACTTCAAGTACCCAGCACCCATAAGGCACACGGCCAATATAGCATACGCGCTGCTCTCTTGCCCCCTGATGATTGAAAACATACAACCAGCTATTACCACTGTTCTAAATCAACATTGGGGTTAAACAGAGTTGTCCAAACTCGTAATTCGTGCTTAGCTTTGATATCAATGACATTCCTGGGATACATCTATGGGAAGTATTGCAGACCAACAATCGTTGTGTTCATTGATACTATAACTACTATCGACCCGCATTATTTAGGAATGCTTTCTGTTCCTGAAAGGTCTGCTAACATACCGAAAGCCCTACACAGAACGTAACCAACAGTTACCCAATATACGTTCATTCAGAATATTTACAATACGCAGTGCTGAGTCTTGCACTGGAACAAACAGAGCAATTCTTAACAGTTTTTAACATTCATCTAGCTGTTTTTTGCTCGTACTAAAATCTAACCAGACATTCAATCTTTACAAATACAAATGAATAGAACGAATTTCAAAAGAAAAACTTTACCGATCTTCTAGTTGTTTCCCCACCATTATTTCTGGTTCCCAACTGTCATCGTCAGCCGACCCGTGGCCTAACTGATGATTACTCCCTATGCCCCAGGAGTAGCCACGACCTAAAAGCGTTTTTTAATAGCGACATTAAATGCTTCTGCCAAACAGTATGCAATAAAACATAAACCTTTGAAATGAGAATAAATCAGTGATTACAAAATATGAATACAGTCTTAAAACTCAATCTAACCCTTCAATAAACTTGAACAGGTTTACCTAACTAACAAAATAACTATTTTTACTATTGTTACTACAGACAAGACAATCCGTTTTTAATATCCCCTAAATACAAATCACACTAGGATATGATAATCTTCAGTCCATAAACCCAACACTGGCAAACGTGAAATATCTTTCCTTGTGCTTTACGCCATATTCTCAATTCATTGAGCGAAAACAACACATAAAGATTCTGAAACGATGTGCTTAAATAATTTTCATTTCGAAATATGCTAAAAAAAATTAAAATGTGTATATACATAATACATAATTTGCACTCTTACTGCGGTTTTTGCTTTCTAATCATAATTTTAGAGGCGATTTCGGTGTGTACCGTACAGTGCAGCTATATCATGACTACATATTTACAAAAACTATGGGAAATCCGTGTTGCTGAACAACTTATTTAAAGCTGTCATCGGATGCATAAATTTTTAAACTGCAGCTGATTTCTATCGGGGCGTTGTTTTTCGTACTGATTCAAATCAGGATAATTAGACTCACCATTCGTGTCAACAGCGAATGAACACGCCTCTCCACAACCAACCCAAGAGCAAACACATTCTTTAAGTGCACCAAGCACGCGCGTAGGCTTGTTCACCGAAATTTTTGAGACGTTTGAACCCCGTCCCAAACCAAGACGACCATAATCTGGTCGACCAACGACATAAACATGACCTAAGAGAAACACAAGTTGCATACAAAAATGAAGCGAAATGGTAAGTAAATCTCTTTTCATTTCCTGTTGATAATTACGGTTCAAAAACCAAATACGTATTGAACGGCAGGGCACTTAAGTGAATGCAGATATACTATAAACAAAAAATCCTATTAAAATCTGCCTACCAACGAACTTCAGAACAAAGATCTACTTTTACTTAACTACCAAGAAATTCTTGAGAAATATATATTGTCAATACATGGACAAGTTTATAACCCTGATGAACCTGTTTTGATATCACCAACAGAGAAGCACATAAGTTTACTGCATTTGAATCTTGCGTATGTTCACAAGATCGTAAAAGGAAATTAAGAAGTTCAAAAGCATTCACAAAATTAATCATCTAGAAGACCACCAGCATTACGTGAGTATCGTTCCAGTTTCATTCAATACTGCAGTATGCGAAAGTGTTCAGATTTAAATTTGAACTGTACTGACTGATTCAACAAAATCTGACATTTTACTTTCTAGATTTTCCTACATTAGTTTTATAAACAATATTGCGTAGAAAAACAACAAATGGTAGTTGAATCTAAAAGGAATAGCTGAAATTCAAGTAAAAGTAACAACCCTATAAAAACAAACTATACCTTACTGCCTCATAAAAATTAAAAACAGTAACCTTTAGGAAAACCACCGCGCAAGGCACAGCTGGATAAGTGTATTAACTACTGATTAAACGAGGTTAGTACCATAGTGCAACACTGGATCGCCTATTAAAGTCATTATGCCTCTTGAAAGCATAGAAACAAAACACGAGGTAAGAGTAATATGGTGACCACTATTCACAAGATAGTGAATATGGTTGACTCACCGAATTCGAGTTAAGGGATACATGTACAAAACAGACAAGACACACATTGTCACCGAAGAACTTATTGTGTTTTTTTTTAAATTGAATTTATAAAAATTAAAATTCAAAAAATGGTTTGTATTAATAGGAATTTTTAAGAACTCCATATAATACTTGGAGTACGTATTAATGGCGCACCTAAATTTGTCGCTCGAAATAACTTTCGCCAGTAAAACAGGACACAGGAAGGAAGTAAAAACAGCGCTAGCTTTCATTAAAAGTGCTTGTGGCAAATCAATGAGGTGAAAGTACGGGTGACACTAAATCTTATGGATCATCTACAGATTGATAAATTTACAATACTTCCGGAAATAAGAAATGTAGAGTAAACAAGAAAGCAAAAAACATGAATAAAATGGAATTTTGCTTATACACAAACGACATTTATAAACAAATTACGCCAATATAAGAAAAGCGATGATCCACATGAAACAAAGTAAGATAACGTACCAAGACTGTCTAAAGCCACTGTATGATGCATAGAGATTGCAAACTGACGCCATTCACGTCCTGGGTCAAATCCAAACGCCCGTGTCAGCATGAACTGAATGATGGGACCTTGTCGAGCTACCAGCTGAGCTTCCGATCTATCGGCCTCATGACGATCAGTTACTAATCGTGCAGCATTTTCATTAATACACACTTCAGTTTCCATGGTCTCTTCAAGAGAATTAGAATCGACTGATATTTCATGGCTGGTGGTATCACGTAGACCTAGTTGGCCATAGTTATTTAAACCACAGGCGTAAACGGCGCCTGTGGACTGACAAAGTGCAAACGTGCCGAACCCTCCAGCCCATACATTAGAAAACCTAACAGCCCCACGGACCCGACATTCCGTAGGCTGTAGAAGAGAACCTGAAATGGATCATTAAAAATATGAGACAGGAAGGAGAACAGATGAATAATAATTTCACGAATATCCAACAAAATGTTGAGTTTGTTATTTCAAAACTCACTAAATTCAAGTAGCTTCATAAAATAATTAACTAATATATACCTTTAAGTAGTTGACGATGAAAATACAGAATGTGAATGATGGATTAAACTATTATTGTTTTATCCTTAATGTGTAGCTGCACTAAAATTATGACTATAATCACTCATAAGGTGATACATTCAATAACTCAATCCAATAAGCACTTAGCTCCAACAGAGATTTATCGCGAAAATTTGCCCTGACCTAAGGGACATTTAAAATCCATTTGTAAATTATTACATTTGCTGTTCTTTTCATAGTGTGGAGTGGAGTCATGAGGTTGAAATTGCTTTCACTTATTAGATTACCATTTAAGACTTTCCTACAACGTATGCAGATCTTACAAAGCAATACTTGATTTCAACCTCTTATCTGTCATATGATCCGAATTCTAATGCAGTAAAACAGATACGTCAACAATTATTTTCAAAAACATTCACGCTCTATTTAGGTTTTACTCACTATCTAAAGTAGTCTGCCTCAACCAGCAGAATATATCATAATCTCAGACTAATCGAAGTTTGAGATAGGATGACATGGTAATCTACATGATCGTTGACTTGGATTATTTCATTAATTTTACAATAACAAGTGCTATGTGACATGTACTTACTTATTCCAGAACGACCCCCATCCTTAGCAAAGCGTTCAGCCACACGACCAAGCTGACCTTGTTCACCACATCCCATTGTGTAGAGACGACCATCATCTGTCAGACAAACTAAGTGGTCCTGACCGGAAGCAATTTTAATGACTGATGCTCCAGGAGTCAACAGCGCAGAATTTATTAACCGACCAGATTTGGAATCAGTGGCTGGAATAGTATCACTGCTTTCAGCTGAACCATTTAAGGGGTAAGCTAGAAGAGGACGAGGTGTTTCGGAAATCTCCCCAGGTTGTGTAAGCCCAATAGGACCACTCGAGCCTCGGAATGTACCCCACAACCACACTTGTCCGTTGCTATCCAAAGCTGCCGTATGACTATCACCAGCTGACACCTACAAATGATAATCAAGTAGGTTTGATTTTTTTTATCAAAATCCGTGTACCAAAAAGCACTACAATATGACGTGGATAAAGGCTAACAAGGGACTAATATAAAACTACACGGTCAGCTTCGGCGTGGTACCGATGGACGTAGACAACTATGTTGCAAAGATGAAAATTGTCTCAAATGACCAGTTGATGTTTAACGTGGGTGATAACCAAAAAGATGAGATAGATGCAGTTGCGAAACCCATCACAAGCGTACTGAGAGGTCTCAAAAAAAAAGAAATTTATTGATAATGATGTTTACAATGATTTAAAACACCGAGGGTGTCTTTCGCACCTAATGTGTACTGCCAAAAACGCACTAAGTAATAAGATTATGGTTCACAAGTCTTTCGTTTGGTTTCGTGTTCTGTGGAGCTATTTTTGTGGGATTTGATCGATATGTAGATGATGCATTGGTAGTGCGCAAGAATAAAGACCATGAGTTCTACCTACTCACATACATGCTGAATTCACTATGGGACATGAAAATGATGGAAAGTTCCATTTCCTCGACGTCATGCAACGTGATTACAGAACCTATTATCTTAGATGCTATGTAGCTACTATCCTGAAAGATCAATAAGTTAACAACCTTCAGGAAAATCATTCCATTTACAATAGGCCATGCACAGCATGTTTTCTAAATGAACCCATGTGGTTGTTTGGGATTGCTAACACCGATGCCTGTTTCATTTATTTTGTCGGCCATCAAAGTCTACAGTAGTTGCCAAGACTTTTAGCTTGCATTTGAGCAGCTTTTACTCCACATCACCATCGAAACCTGTTGGAATCAATATTCTCCCGCAGAAATCCACTAGCACTTGCCGATTTTTGGTTTCAAGTTATCAACAGTCCTTACCATTTTCTACAGCCGACCGGATATAATACCAGTCAATTTAAGAGTGACTCTTGCTGTCGACCGTGAACACATACCTAGTTATCAGTACCCTAAATAGATTTTATGATCTCACCAAAAAGTTATGGACGCAGAGGCTATGTCGATGAGTTTTATGCCTCTGTTCACAGGCATATATGTGCACGTAACAGAGCGTAATTGTGGTTTACGCAAGTGTTCCAAAAGGAGCGGTAGTCCACCTACGCTTTGCATCGATGACTAACAGCCACACGATCTATGAGTCGTTGATGTTGGGAGTCGTCAAGTTAGGCTTTCGCCTTTTGTTTGAAGTTAGTGCTGACCAGGAACAGAAGTGCATGAAAGTGCAAAAGTGCCACAAATGTAATTCTCTGCCCGATGCAGCCTTTCTGTCAGAACGACTATATGTAAGCGTTTTGTTATCAGCAGCAAACTCGGCAGCTTTTCATAGAACTCGTCTTCCATTTCGTCCGGACTGCAGTTGGTTGAAATTTTATCGGTTGAGAGCAGCGTTCTATAAAAGCACTCGTTAAGATAACCGCTCAAAGAGCAAAACCAATTAAAATACTGTCCGTTTATTCTAAGCGGACTCTAACAGAATGACGAGCTTAGATTGGAGGTGGTGAGACGGCAATTTACCCTAGGAGTGTAGTCTCAACTACTTTGAGCGGTCACAGACTGAAAATAGAACCACTGTGGAATAGACATCTTAAGCTAAGCCTTATTTTCCACTAAAACCTAACTAATCTTTTCATGCGCTCCTCCAGGCCAATAACCAAATCTACCGTTGTTATCAGTTACAGTCTTAAAATTCATGACATCCTAGTTGCTATAAAGCATTTCCAGATTTACATGCGGTACAACTTCTTATGTAAGTGTTCGGTCATTTGGAATAGACTACCTGCTAATGTGCGTTATGCATAATCACAGTGCTCATCTTCCCATTCACCAGACTGGTCAAAGATGACAATGCACTCCTGCGTCTGCACTCTCTTTTTCACCTTACATAGATATTGAAATAATAGAAAATCTTAGACAGAGGAAACACCGAATGTGCCAGGGAATTCCTAAAAGCCTGGTACTCAAACGAAAATGCAATTAATAAACACGTTAATGTAGATGAAATACACCAACTAATAAAAAACCAGGTGATCAGAAAGTTTAAAATCCTAATCAACAGAAAACGGTCAATACATATCTAAAGATGGTTACCGGGAGACATAATTATATCACTCATGAAAAAATTTAAATTTCACTTTATCCTAAATACTGCGCTGAAGATGTCCAGAAAGACGATGAAAGCTCCGCAACTAAACCAACCAGCTCAGAAAACACTATTAATTACATAGATATTGTTAGTTAACTAAACGTGTAAGTTACGATAAACCTCAATAATAAAAATTAATAGTATTAGAAGCTAATGATAAACATTTTTACACAGAATATTATTATTAGTTCACACAATATAAAAGCATAACAGCCTCAGTAAGTTAGTGTATCAACATAATCATGCACAAAATCTGAGAATATACTATTACCATTATTATTACATGGCAGAAACGAGATTCCTAAAGTTAAGAGCAAACGAAAATTGGTGACTTCATTCCAATGAGAACTAAGGGAAACACATACTTGTTCATTCTCCATTAAACCAAGTGCTTACAATTAATTAGGCAACCAATACTGTGCCGCCCCTAAATGACTTACCATTACTACTTTCACCTTCACCGGGAATGATACCAGGCCAAGATGGCATTCGTCTACGACGGGATGTAAACCACTGCGACTATCATTATCAGTAGTCCCAGATTCCGTTTGAGTGATTCTCCCCAACGCTCCTTCGTCATTGCAACCACATGTAGCAACATTCCCACATACCGTTAAACAAACCGAATGCATGCCTCCACAGCATATTTGTGTGAAATAAGACTGAGATTTCTCCTTAGTTATCTGTAGAGCACTAAGGCTTTCTGGAGTAGGATGAGCTGGTCTTGAGCGCTCCGTTATATCTGGCCCCAATCCAAGCTGACCAGTATCCCCAACCCCCAAGAAGAGAGCGATTCCCTGAGTAGAGAAAGCTGAAATGTTTCTTCCCTCTTTGTAGTTTGCCACCACTTGTTCCGACGGAGACTGAGGAGCACTGGTGGCTTCGACTAAAAGAAAAGTGATCTGAAATTAAAATACTTGTGGCAGTGTCACAGAAGTTAGCTTACTTAATAAGAATACAAAATATGACCTGGCAACAGTGAACAAGGGTAGTTTTCTAAGTCATCAATTAAGCAACACTAGGAACTAATCATAGTGTCTAGTCATGCAGACGCTGGCAACGAAAACTCAGCGAGTCTGCACCACTTCGTTTTATAGTTATGTGAATTACAAACTAGTAGTTTAAGTGTATTATCTACGAATCACAAAATGGTTAAAAAGGTACCCTGAACATTAGCAACTTTCAATTAAAACCAGCAATTTAATATTACTTCCAAAATACACTAGTTGAAGTGAAGTATACGATGCCAATAGGCCTTATGCTTCACATGCTAGTGTGGTACACGCTCAACGCTAACCGCACATTCTCAGCACTGACAGATGCTCCCACATGCTTCTTAGCTCAGTTCACAGTACTCTCACGAATCTTGCAAGTCGTATTGAAGACTGCAACTGCTGACGACATCTTCATTTATTATACATACTTTCTGCACCAATACTATAATCTATTCATGGAATCACCTCTACATTTTACAATAAACTGGACAGACATGATAAATTATCTATACCGGTAAAATGGTGAAGAAACTAAAGATAAAATATTAGCGACATCTTGCAGGAAAACCAAAGGCTGTACCGTATGATGAACGCTCAGTGGACGATTAACATTGACAGGAGGAAAACTTCATAATACACTTACACTTCCTTCGTTTCCGAGAGTTTTTATCTATAGTCATGGAGCTGCGCTTCTGTCGGACTGCAGGACGACTAACTCTCGTCATCATATCACCGTCCTCGACCGAAGAAGTTGGCTTGATAATCATGCTAGTACAAATCTCGAACGCTCACCTGTAAGGCGAATTAAAACAAATACGTGTCTTTGGAAGGTCATTTGATGCATATCAATCCTAGTTTCCTGATACACCTCATAGGCACGTCGTTCAACCTGAAAAGTTTAAATAAAGTAAAATATACTTGCTCAAAAAATATACCTCTGAAGTTATTAGCTTAAAGTATTAGAGATATGAATAACGCTGTTTATTGATTAGACATATTTACTAATGAATTCAGTTTCCTTTCTTGCCGAATTTTGATTCTATCCCTCTCTTTCTGTATTCATTTAGGTTAACAGATCCCACACCATATCAAGTTTTCATTAATAATACCCATCCAAGCTCTTTGATTTCATTCCCTTCACTGATGTCACCGCATTTGTAAACACTTTCTCAGGAGAGAGGATGAAAATAAGAGAGAGCTATCATAAACACAGTTGTTAATAGCGTTCAGTACATTAGTAAGGTCTAATAAGTATGTCAGAGTTAAGCAGTAAGATAAAAGAACTCACTGAGCTGTAAACAAGATATGAAGGAAATGATATATTACACAACGGCCCAAAAGTATGGAAGAATTAGAAAGCGTTACACAACAAAAACAAATTGCTTGAAAACAACATAATAATAATGGTGGTCGAGAAATTCTCTAGTTTCTCTATTTGGTTGGCCGGAGCTTCAATAGTACAATGTATACGACGGGTGAGGATATACGTGGCTGCGTGTTATATTTTCCGCGACTCAGGTTTTTTCGTCTTTCATTGGCCAGAATGGTGGCGGTCAATTGGAGTTTGAATTGTCCTTGGGTGCGTGCTGTCGGGTGCTGTATTTGTGTGGTTGTGTTTGCGTCGTTTGCCAGCATATGTGATGACTATAAACGTGAATTAGACTATTGTAACGCTTTGTTTTTCTTTGTTTGTGCATGTACTAGGCTTTATTTGTCGTACAATTCGTTGTTTGGTCTGTCGGTTGCTTGCGATGTCAACGAACCGGTGGGTTCTTGTGTTTTTCTGTAATTTAGGTTATACGTGCGGTATTTTCTTGATGGTTATCGATCATCCCTGTATTTCAATGTTGTTTTTTTACGATTTATCTTGGAATAGTTGTGACATAGATGGATACTAATTGATAAATTTATTTTAGTCCGTTGCAGGTAGTCAATTCGAGTGAAAGGAGCACAGACTTAAGTGGAATTTTTGGTGAATACATACTTGGAAGGCGTTTCTTCAGCTGGGATGAATTTGAGAAGTCATTAGCAGAATTTCAAAAAGTGAGGAAGTCATTTAATGCTAACAGTGTAGTTATCCTGCACTCACTATGTTCATAATTGCAGCAAAACGATACCGGATGACAGGTTTAAGTACGCTTATGTTTGTTTTAAATGCACTTTTGGAGTGAATCGTACAAGACCTGGATTGAAATTGAAAAATAAGTCGTAAGAAGAAGTATGCTATGATTTCATGAATATTTCAGGTCTAAATGTTGCAATTGCTCGTCTTCATTTCGCGTGGTTTTGCGTTATAGTGAATACATAATTGCTTCCCACAATATGGTGCATAACCATCCATGCAGCAGGGTGTACATGCAGAATGACCCATGGTATAGACGACTAACAGTTGAAGAGAAAGAAAATGTGGAACCACTTCTTCAGCAATCCCACTCATCCGATGAAATAATAATGCATGTTAAGGAGAAGTACCACAAGGATATAACTCGCATTGACGTTAAAAATATGAAAGCCGCAGTTACTAAAGGTAACGTTGACGTACTTGTTACATACTTAAGGTATTTCGAGTCGTCGTGACATTTTTGAATTCCTAAAATCCCGTGGGAAGTTAATGGAGTATTATTCCGATGAACCGATCAGGAATTCACTAACAAGAATTTGTTTTGCAACTTATGAGCAAATGGAATTGTATAAACAGTTCCCTGAAGTTGTTGGTATCGACTCGACGTATAATACAAATAAGGGGAAGTAAGTTTACCAATTCATTAATCAACGTGCAGGTATTCTTTGTTCCAATTACTTGTGACGGATAATTTTGGTCGTGGACGACCAGTTTTATTTGCGTGGACTAGAAAAGAATTCAAACGAGATGTAGTTTGGATATTAGACTGTTTTCGTCAAATAATGGAAGACACCTCCAAAACAGAATCTTTCATTATGGATTGTGCGCAAGCTGAAATAGCAGCCGTCAAGTTAACGCACAGACAAGCGCACATTGTTTTGTGTTCTTTCCATGTTTGCCGAGCATTCTGTCGTAAAGTAAGTTTTTCAAAGCATACTTTACATTTTATTCGTAGACAAGAAATCCCATTGTGAAGAAATACTTATGCCGTCTAGTGCAGTGTAAAAAGATCAGAGTAATGCCTTAATGTTCTCATTTTCCAGATTTAATTTCTATTTCAGAGTTATTAGCAGATTGGATGCTACTGTCAGTCAATATCTACAACGTCGTTGGATGCATCGACGAGAATTGTGGGCAGCATGTTTCAGAGACAACGTGCTGACTTTTGGGAACGATACAAATAATCGCGTCGAGAGTTCCCACAAGCAAATGAAACGGTACTTGCAAAGATCAGATAGTTTGCATAAAAGTATGCTGAAGGTGTATAAATGGTATCAACAAAGTTTTTCAAGAATACAGCAGGAGGCGACTATTGCTCAGTCGCGATGCTTCACTTATCCCTGTTCACAACGTCTAATCCCAATTATACGATTGCTGACGCCATACGCTGCGAGGAAGGTTATCCGTGAATACGAAAGGCAACGATGGGCTGTTGTTGAGTTGAATCCTTCGATTATGTATTCTTCCAAGACAAGGGAATAGAGTGGAGGTTGATCTGAGTGCTTGCACCTGCACGTGCTTTACATTTCAGACCTGTCGGTACCCCTGCCGACACTTGCTTTTGGTCCATTTCAGAAAGCCGTATTTCACAGGTATATTTGCGTTTTTATGACTCCGTTTTTAATGTATGTCGACCGAAACTTGATTAATTAATGTTCTTATATACGGAAAGTTGTAATTTTCATTACCGTATTCGTGTGTACATTGCCTTAACTGGAAACAGGACACAAGCACTACCATCATTGCACCTGTAATAATCAGTTCATAGTTATCTTAACGTTTTTTGTTCCACCTTTTGTAGTTAACCATGTGATGCATAATTGTAAACAATGGACGTGGTCACGCAACTTGTTCGCATCTCAAAGTACGTCAGCAGTTATCCCTCGAAATCAAGTGACATATTCAATACCAAAAATAGGATTATCATTGCGGGTATGAAGAGAATTAATGACAAATTTGGAGAAGTGTTTGCCAATACTTATGCAGACGGAGTAATCGCAGGAATCAATCGTGTTCTTAATATGTAAATAAACTAAATTTGTATCATAATGAAAATAAAATTTTCATGTAAATTTTGTTGTCTTTCAATTCATGTGTTCACTTTGTGAGCACGGCATGCTAGACCGGTGCTCTCTAGGACTTTAACTACTAACAATACGTAAGTGTAATTGTGTAGGAACGATGTCGGTCAGCATACGTGTTAAATTATAAGTATTTCAGTTAGCTAACGTGCATACGTCTCATAGTCATATACAAGTCTTTAGGGACAATAGTAGGCATAACTTAGGCACTGCATTCGAGTTCCAGTTCTTATACGGTTACGTGTATTCGAAAGTATTGCATTACTAATGTTTCACTTAAAGCGTGATGTCAATCCATATGACTAAGGCTGTTGACATGTAGCGTAAATTAAAGTCTACACCAGACGAATTATTGAATTCGTTGAGCTTTAGCAATCGTATTTAGATTTAGCTTACACTAAAATATGCCACCAATTACTTCGTCAGTTCTTATTAATAAGTCATGTCTGCATCTAGTCATCATGACAAATATATCTACACTCAGATATAATAAGAAAGGTCTGGTAAGCAGGATATTAAATGTATTTAATGAAAAATAATAACAAGCAAATGTCTTTACGCAGTCGTTTGTCGTAATAATTTGGGCAATGTCGAATCTCTGTGACCGGGGTGACTGACGTTACCGGATATCTACAAATAAGTAAACAAAGTGTTTTTTAAATCGCTGAAGTAAGAAAGAAGTAATATCAAAGTTAAACGCTTTATATCTGCCTACCTTTGCTGAAAATGGTTCATTCTCCTTTCTCATTCTTTGTTCATGACAGCATTCTTCTGGGGTTTTCACTGCCACACACATTATTCATCTTCTAAAGGATAGCAGCAAGCATATAATAATAATTTCAAATTTCGTATAAACCAATGTTTACAAAGAATGCATGTCATTTCTACAGGCGCAATAAGTTATGTTATAAACTGCAATCGTGAAGTATCATAAATTATAAGAGTTAAATTGTGAACCCTTAACAATGAACACCGTACATTTGGCTAAGTGCTATGTCCTTGGAATGTGAGTATACATTTGCAATGTTTAATGCCAACCATATTGGTGTAAGCATAGAAAATATGACGTTTTCCATGAAAATACAGCTTTGTTCAAACACTGGTGTTGTTGTGTTTCTAATAAAAGCAAATAGACTGTAAGCAAGCAACTAATAGGCACAAAGAGTAAGTCTCAGCTTTAATAAAGGCATATCCAGTTAACATAAAATGAAGTGTAATAGTGCACAAATGAAAAGACCATAGTGAAGTAGATAAGTGATATTTCAGTGAGAGGTAAATTGAAAGATCTGCAACCTTACAATTTGGAAGACAACCTGACATGTAAGATCTCTCACAAATTTCTATAGGGCCTGTGGGGTACCATGGATGGTTTGGCGTCAATCGCAGCTTTGGAAGGATGAGTTACAAATGCAAAAGGTAACAACCAACGAAACTGCAGTAGTATTTTCTAGCTGTTCAGCATTTTTTCCTTTGATGCAGTTTCTTATCAACAGTTTGCAGTATTCAGAACATCACAAGTTGCTTACAGATAACTTGTTTAATAATAACTGCTTTAAATATATGAGCCATAAGTGCATCTTCTACATCTTTCATAGCCACAATTAAGTCATTAAGGATCTCAGAATATCTTAGTGATGTGAAGCAAAATAATTTTTAAGATTGATATAACCTATGTAACAGGTGTAGTAGTTGTATGACACAGGTGCTAGCTACTAATCGACAGAAATCTGGTACTAATTTTAAGTACTCTGACATTTGAGAAGGACTATTTATACTATTCTTCCAGACACAATGAACACTGATGTCAATATACTCTGATGCCATTTCATGCACTGAGCAATTAAGGCCTTGTGAAATTTCATGTGCAAATGTCAATTAAACTATTTTCACATCTTCGCCCAAGCACTTTTAACTAGGAACTTCATCAAAATAGATATAATCACCAGGAAATTCAGCAGCCTATCTCATTCATCGCATAATGTCGTCGATGTGTTATGAGTATTTCAGTCATCCCGGATGATAACAGAAAAGTTTAACATGTTCAAAGCACACATCTAACCTATGTCTGCATGCTATTTCTCTTTCATAGGCCAGATTCTAATAGATTCACTGGAATGACAACAGCCATTGCCTGCAGTATATTTACAACCTTAAGATCTGAAACAACTCGCAAAAAAACAAACCCTCAACGCACTATAATGCAAATAATAGTCTTTCTATGCGAACTCTCTTAAAAAGGATGACTTCTTCATTGATAATTCGTCCGAGCTATAATATACAATTTTACGCTCTACTAAGAACAAAATACAGCAAATTACTGCCATCCGGCTACAGAAGTCTAAAACTAGTGAAATATAATCTATTTCCAAAAAGATAGGCGATTATAACGTCTGTTGCCGTGAGCGCGGTAACCGATGGCATTGCGCGATAACACCTGGAGACAGCCTATATCCTCACTCATATACGACAGAACCTTGTCTTTGAAAGGCTGCCTTTCGGCTTGTAGAAAAATTCTAAAGAGGACCAAACTGGCTCAGAATGGCCAGTGTGGTGCCTTCCTATAGTAATTTGGTGTATTGTCAGGACAGACGCCCCACATGAACTTGTGAACTGATATATGCACTTCAAAAATGGACAAATATCAGATCTTCTCTTGTAGGATTCTGCAGAGCAGTGGACAATTTGAGAAAGCCATTTCTGCTGTTGCTACGAAAGATAATTTCTTCAAAGATATTGGAATCCTTTCCTCGAGGAAATCACAGGACGGGCTGCTCTTGAAATCAAATCTCATGCAAAGTTTCTTCACTAGCTCAAACGATGGTTCATACCTATGAATTCTCGGTTTGATCTTCATACTAGCAAACCTCGGTGAATATCAATTTGAGATGAAGATTTCTCTCGGAAGATCTAAGTCCTCTTCTGACGCTTCAGGGCTGTAGGCAAGTTAGATACGTGCCACAGGGGGTTTGATTGCAACACCTTTTTGATCCAGTCGACGCCCTGCCGGGAGTTACATTCTTTCCTTTATGAATACCATGTTCCATTACGAGATAACTTTCTACAAAAATACCACACAATAAAACTATCGGTGACATGTCTTTCAGATTTTGCCAGAACAAAGGAAGCTTGTGGGGGATCAAGGAAGTTTGTCAAATCAATTAAACCTCAGCCATTACACCTCCAACCTACAGTGTGTTTATCTGTAAGGATTGTAACGCACGATAGACAATTGAATTTTCAAGGGATAAAACCTCAGTGATTACGTCGTGTTTTGATTGTATATTTCTGTACTCTCCTCGTATCATCGTTGATAAGTACATCTTCGGGTGGCCGTAAGTGTTACATAATCCCCTCACTAGTTGAGGCGGTGTTAAGAACAGCTCGGCCCCTTCCATATTAGTTTGATTATTAAATGTATCACACAGTGAAACAGTATTGTATACTCGGCCCCTTACCTGGAGACTAGGCTATGGGATCAGCAGGCAGCGTGGCCAAGCCTCAGATCTAACAGGATAGACGGCTACACATCAGTCATGGGTGTTGTATCTAGTCGGAGCCATCCAGAAGTGAACCTGAAATCGTTCAGATGGCCTAACCAACTGGTTTCCTAGAATTAGTGAGCCCAACGTGACTTATTTTGAGTCCTTGTCGCTTTATGTTGCTACCCACTGCTTGCCGCGTTATATGGTAACGTTTCCTGCTACCAACTGCACAACGACAGTAATTCTGGTAAGTCAAGTTTTGTATGTGCTACTACTAATTATTCATTACTCACACCTTCTGGAATTTATTTCGGATAAATTCGATGAAAGCATACGAGCCGATAATATCCTAATGCTGCTGGATGACAGATGCACTCACAGAATAGGAAGTAGCGCAGGAAAGTTTCGAAACATTTTAATATTTTATTATTATTTATTATGCGAACATCGAAACTTTCTTAAAATATGAGAAACATATAGGCAATGGGGCAGCCAGTAATTCCATATTAGTTTGTTTATTTGATGTATCACACAGTGAAACATTAATATTTACTAGATGACGTTCCATACAAAATTTATTTAGATATTATAGAGAAGATTTGTAGCTCAGGTGGATGATTTTGCTTTGCAAAAGCCACCAAGGAGAACACAAAGAAAATTACCTTACCATATATAAAAGATATCTCAGAAATCACTACAAGACTCTTCAAACCTCTAGGAATTGACGTCGTACACAAACCGACAAAGTCGCTGCACTCAATTCTATGTCAACCAAAAGACTCAACAGTGAAAGAAGATAAAACCAACATCATCTACAAAATAAACTGTAACAACTGCGAAAAACACTACATTGGCCAAAGTGGACGTCCCCTTCGTCTTCGTATCCACGAACATAAGCTAGCCGTCAAAAGACATGATATCCACCCCCTCATTTCACTACACACAGACAACCACGGACATCAATTCGACTGGGACAACGTTCAAATATTAGACAAAGAAAATAACAAGAATGCTAGAGAATTTTTAGAAGCTTGGCATTCCAGTGAATCATCAATCAATAGACACATCGACATAGACAAAATTTATCAACCAATAAGAAAGAAACTTCACAGACAAAGGGTCAAAATTCAAGTCAAAGAAACAACCGGTTCCAATACAAGTAACCTAGAAGGTGTGAAAACACACACAAACAACCAATCACGTCCGAGGTCACCAGGAGAGATGATTAATAAAATCGTGGAGAAATCTTAAAGCTCACTTCAAATTGAAGGATGCGTTGAAGAATTCACCCAGTAAGGTGATGAAAGCTTCGCAAACTAACCATCCAGCTCAGAGAACAAAACCAAATCAAAAACAAAATTTATTGTTCATAATCATATCAATTTTAATCACACAGGGTGTCAATGGAGTTGAAGATTGAACGATCAATTCATGGTTGTTTGCTCAAAATCAACTTCCCCAATTTTCGCGGAGGCATCAATACGACAGTCATCGTCTCATCGGTCGCT